ACAAATATATTGTGTAGTTACACAGAGTAACTTTGGTTGAAACGTTTATATTTTTTTGACATTTTTGACTATTTCCTGAAATATTTAAATTGATGGATGTAATTCCAGTCAATGTGGTCTATTTACACTTAATCTGAATATTTTGATTCGAGGACGCCCATTTCCGACAATGCTGCATTTTTTATGCTCAAATATTTCTAAAATTTCATAGTCCTGGCCCCCTAATTTTAACTGAATGATCGTCCCCTTACAATTTAGATTTTTACGTACTTTCTTTCTTTTTTCCGTTACCGTAGTTGTGTTTTTACACATATCCATGAATTAAATAATACTAGAACACTCCCGCGAAATCGCGGGCATTTAGAGCTTGGTTGAAAGTATGTAAACTGTTGTAGGATGAATTTTTGTAAAAGATTACATGAGGAGGCGGATTTAGAGGATTTTTTCAGGGGCTTCCCCCCCTCCCTCCCCCCTCCCTCCCCCCCCCCCCTTTTGTGGGAAAATTTGTTGATTATATAAGGAATCAATGATGCATGACTGGAGCGGGACCCCTCTTAGGCAGTCAGTGCTTTTAAGCCCTCTCACCTTTTTCCAAAGTCCGTTATTTTTTTTTTCTGTTGAATTCCATTATTTTCGCGTTTCTGTATACTATGAAGTCCTTTGAACATACGTATATTATAAATAAAGTGTATGTGCTATCAGAAGTCCATTACTAATGGACTTCTGGTGCTATTTACTATCAATTCCAAGTTTCTTCTCCACGGCGATCACTGTTATAATAGATGCAGAGTTTCTATATATTATAGTAGTATAATCATAGTATACATGCAGATAAACGCGATAATGATTGTCCTGTCCCCGAGGACTTATGAAAATTATTTGTAAGTTTAAAACCGGAAGTCTTGTCTATGACTTAAAAGTTGGTCTGATGACGGAAACAATATCCGGACGTCTTTATTTTCGTTTTTCTCCCAAAATAACCCAAACTGAATAATCATAAGAATACATGACAAATGCGACTATGCAAGGTACCTATAGGACACAGAGGCATGATGATTTATTTATTGTGGAAGGAAGAGAAGCGACACACAAAATGAGGTCTTCTCGTTTAATAGTATAGATGTCCATAATACGGAAACCGCGCCAAGTCATTATGTCAACATAAACCTGTAACAGTGCAATCATACGCATACTTTAAGTGTGACTATACATGTAAAAACAATGTTTATAGCAAGACTTGAAGTATTAAAATCCAGTTAATGAGACGTGGTATGATTGCCAATGAGACAACTATCCACCAAAGTTCAAATGAAGTGGATGTAAGCAATGATAGGCAATCGTACGGCCTTCAACAATGAGAAAAACCCATATCGTATGGTCGGCTATAAAAGGCCCCGACATGAAAAATATGAAACAATTCAATTGACAAAACTAACGGCCTAGTTTATAACAAAAATAGTTTACGAAAAACAAATATGACAGACATAAATCAACGACAACCACTAAACTACAGGCTCCTGACTTGGGACAGGCACATAACGAAACTTATTTATACAAAGTATTTGAAAAAATACGAAAAATCAATATTCAGCGTTAAAATATGTACCCTTTGAGTGTCCCTCAAATTTAACTCGTGCCGGTTGTAAGAAAAACCTAATCGGTGACCGTAAAACAAGGTGCGAGAACCCAATGAACGAACTAATGAATTAACGTTGTCCAAGCAGTTTCAGTGTTCATTCTATTCTATACCCCTACCACTTTTCAAAAGTTGCCTTGTTTTTATTTGCTTCAACCTCCAAAAAGTCGGCTTCTTTTTATGTTAATGTTTATGTTAATATCAAAAGGAGAGAAGAACGGATTTTTGATTTTCTACACCATATCTTTCGTGAATGATGTAGGGGTATATGTGGGCATCGAAGTTTGAATGAAGAGAATAAAGCATGTACAACCTCTGGCTTCTTGGAGGGGATAAAAACCCGTGCGCTCATTGAACATACTGTAGTAGATCTGAACGCATGACCGAACAACTTTGATCCATTCAGATAATGTGTCCAGTTTTGGTTCATCTCGCTCGAGCCTTAACAATTTTCTGGCATAGTCATCAACTGAGAGTATTTAGTAATGGGATAGTATATAAATAACACATAGCTGAGAGGGTGGTAGAGCAGATTGTTACACCGAGAAAACATTGTCAACTGAGGCGAAGCCAAGGTTGACAATGTCTTTTCGAGGGGTAACAATCTGCTCTTTCACCCTCTCAGATATGTGTTATTTAATTTATTATACTGAATGTTCTGTTATGACTGTCTACTAAATTTCAAATTCATAGTAATAAACTATGACGTCTTGTACATAACAACCATCCGTATTTAATAAAGCGCACACTTGATCAAGCGTCTCTGTGAAGGGTAATAGAGTATTTGCCATGGGATAGTAGCTATTATTATACTTCATGTCAAAATGCAATATTTTGAATGGCTAATACGAAGGTGTTAATTTACTCTATTACCCTTCATGGAGACGCTTGATCAAGTGTGCGCTTTATTAAATACGACTCTATCCTATGGCAAATACTCTATTACCCTTCACGGAGACGCTTGATCAAGTGTGCGCTTTATTAAATACGGATGGTTGTTATGTACAAGACGTCATAGTTTATTACTTTGAATTTGAAATTTAATCGACAGTAATAACAGAACATTCAGTATAATAAATTAAATAACACATATCTGAGAGGGTGATAGAGCAGATTGTTACCCCTCGAAAAGACATTGTCAACCTTGGCTACGCCTCAGTTGACAATGTTTTCTCTGGGTAACAATCTGCTCTATCACCCTCTCAGCTATGTGTTATTTATATATTGGCCTATGATCGGTTTAATACAGCAGTACATAAACACTTCACTATGCTGAATTAAGCTCTTATAAAACGAGGCTAATTAACCAACCAAGGGATAATTATCTGCATCTGCTTTTATCGTAATGGTTGTTTTCGCCAGGAAAAGCAGTGAAAAGGGACACAATCCTTTTCCAACTAATTAGGTCTTTCAACTTTTCTGTTGGAAGACCTATTGGTTTTCTTTTGAGTATTATTATCATTATTTTTTTTTCTTCTTCCGCCACATTTTTTTCTTACTTGTTTTGTGGTTTCGCAAGATGTCGCTTAGATTTTTTGCATATGATATGTAACTGTTTGTTATTGCAGTTTTGAAACTGACCCTGTTAAGCCGAACACTTTTTATTGTAAGAGTTATCTCCCCAAACACTGTTTTTCTTGTGTGCGCATCTCTTTCGCAACCGTAAAAGATTACGACAAAATTATTTCACATATTTGCTCGTGATATAACTCATTAATCATATACAATTAAGACCTAGGGTCTTTTGATTTGAGGTCCTTGGTTTATGACCTTCAAATTGAGCTCAAGGTCATAGGTAAATTTGACGTTCTAGATTTTGACCTTTGCGTTTACCTCATATGTATACATGATAAAGCCATGGGAATTTTTGCATAAGGTTGCAAGCCAGTTGACCTTGGAAAAGCCAACCGGAAGTGACCTTGTGTAAACCGGAAGTAGCTATTTTTTATATTTATTTAATATAAAAGTATATAGAAACATATATTTTTGGAATCAGTGTCAAGTAAACATTCAAATAATACCGGAAGTAACATTTTTCAAACCGAAAGTAACAAATTATCTCCCTTATTTAAAAAAAAATTAAATAGAAACCATATATTTTAGGAATCAGCGTACAATAAGCTATCATTTGACGCTGGAAATGATATTTTAAACCGAATTTTAATATTTTCATATTAAAATAGATTTTTACGGGTGGAAAGACCTTCAATTGTTCTCTGAACAATTGGTTTTTAATTGTGTTAGATAGTTTGTTCTTATATTATGTTTTTATATCTTATTACTCCACTGTCCCAGGAAAAGATAAGGTATTTATGTGCCTGCTCCAAGTCAGGAGCCTGTAATTCATTTATTGTCGCTTATTTGTTTTCGTTTGTTGTTTTCGGCAGAAACAGGCACAGGATTTTCTCTGATGAATTGTTTTATATATTGTCATGTCAATGCCTTTTACAGCATATCATATGGTATGGATTTTGCTCATTATTGAAGGATGTACAGTAAAATATAATTATTTACATAATAACAACATTGGATTACAACTTCACTGAGGTAAACATACTGTCAGTTAGCCACACTGTTTTAGGCATCTTAACTCTTAACTGGAAACATCGACACAATTGCCGCCATTGGAGAAAGCATTTGGACACTCTTGAGACACGGCATACTAACAACCCTATCTTGGATCCCAGGTCATGCTAATATAACTGGGAAGAGATAGCGAAGTAGGCGAAAGATGTAGCAAACGAGGCATCATCCTTAATTTGACCAATATAATGTTATAACAATGTCAGATATAAGAATTGCATCCAGTTTGTCAACAAAATTGAAATGGTAAAGAAGATGGACCATGAGTTAAGCCCGGACACAACTATAGTAGTGGAAGCTATTGCTGAAAAGGGTGTCCAACTTCACTCGCCAAAACCTAAAATAGGAGAAATATTGTGGGGGCAAGACCAGGTTACAACAGACTGACCAAGAACTGCAACCAAATAGGTCAATCCCTCACGCCATATTGTGAATGTGGTCAAGAAGAAACTGTTAAAAAAAAACTTTATACCACATTGTCCAAGACATCAACAGGAAATAGAAAAATTAATAAGACAGATGGGGACATTGGCATTCCATAAGTAATATAATCATTTCTTTTTTAAAGAAGGAAAATTTTAAACGAAAAATATGTTTATATTAGTTGACGAAAAAAAAAATCGAAGTGGCGAAAGAGGTGGCGAAAAGAAAATTGACCCAAGGGAAAGCCTTGTGATGGCTGAAGTAAAGAATAGATTGAAAAATACATAAAAAACTAAAACCTTAAACTATATTTGACAAAGATTTATTCAGATCTTCTTGTTTACTTTTGCAGATGCAACAATGAGGTGGGATGCTTTGTCCGTACCGAGACAACTCAACAAGGTAATTCTTAAAATATATCTATAATACTGGTCATTTTATTACCTTAAGGTTAAGGTTTTTAACCGGCTTTTCAAAGGAAAATATCGGTTATTAATTTGGTGATATACGGCGGCCGGGCGGTCGGGCGGCCGGGCGGTCGGGCGGCCTGGCGCCTGCCAAACAGTATCCGTGCAATAACTTAAAAACGCTTTGACTTTAGATATGTTGTTTCCTGTGACTAAATGAAGGTCAAGTTCCATTTTCATGATTTTAGCTTTTATCGTTGTTGAGTTGTAGACCTTAAAGTAGCGAAAAGTGATACTTCGAGCGTTGTCCGTTCAATAACTTGAAAACGCTTTGACAAAATCTTTTCAAATTTAGATATGTTGTTTCCTGTGACTAAATGAAGATCAAGTTCCATTTTCACGATTTTAACTTTATCGTTGTTGAGTTGTAGACCTTTAAGTAGCGAAAAGTGATACTTAGATTAATTTTGGCCTTTCTATTTCTGAACCCTACACAAAATTCATATTATTATTTAACTTGATCCAGTTTGGGGGTCCATATTTGAAATTATCATTTTCATGCAGGAAAACCTGGTTTGCAGTCAATGTAATCTGGCAGCCTCTTGTTTCTTTTCTTCTCTGTTGATTTGGCCTAAAAGTCAATGAGAGCTTTGGCAATCACTTGGCGTCCGTCATCATCGTAATCCGTTTGTATTTCGTCTGTCGTCCGTCCGTCGTCGTAATATTTTTTTTAAATGATCACCTCGGAAACTAATAAGTCAAATGTCACCAATCTTTACCTGAATGTTCTTCAGGGTATGTAGTTAAAAAAGTGTATCCGGGGATTTGATTCATCAAAAAGCATGGCCGCTGTAGCTCAAAATAAAACATAGGGGTACACAAATTTTTGGGTTATATCTCAAAAACTGAAGCAGTTAGAGCTAAATAATCACATGGGTAGAATGAATAAACAGATCAAGGTATATATCTCCCGCGGAATTTTCAGAAAAATTGGACAACCTGTTTTGAAGTTATTGCCCCTGAAAAGTGTATTTTTTTTCGTATTTTCTTGAAAACTATAACATATCGAGAGAAATTTTACAGTAAAAATGACCAGAACAATAAATCAATAAATAAGTAAACTTGGCTGAAATTGGCATATGGCCCCTGATAGGTGTTATTGCCTTTAAATGAAGGTTTTATCCTTTTTTGCATTTTTTTTAGGAAACTAAAGTTGATACAGAGAATTTTTTGATAGTAAATATGTTCAGCAAAATATGATCTACAAGCAAATCAGCATGAATGAATTGCTAATTGATCTTATATATGACGTAATAGCTTGAAAAGCCAATTTTACTCATTGTTTGTGTTTTTTGGCAGAAACTATAATAGATAGAGAGAAATTGTAAAAAGTGTTCAACAAAATAAGATCTACAAAAAGGTCTACTTGGTCGAAATCGTCAATTGACCGCTTGTAGGAGTCATTCCCCTTGAAAAATTGTATTTGTACATTTTTTCATTTTTCCAGGAACCATTATGGATAGGGAGAAATTGTTAATGGCAAAGGTGTTAAGCACAATAACAAAGATAGATAGAGATCAACAATATATAGCAAAAATGATCAGGAAAGTGAGACCTACAATTAGGTCAACATAGTTGAAATCGTCAATTGACGCCCGAGAGTAGTTAATGCCCTTAAAAGATGATCGTTCTCCATATTTACAGTTTTTGCTAATACTATTATAGATAGAGATGAACAATTAACTGCAAAAATGTTCAGCACAATAAGATCTAAAAATAAGTCATCACGGCCGAAATTGTCAACCTATACATTTTAGAAGTTTGTTCCCAGAATAATGACTTTTTATCCATTTTTGTATTTATGGTATTTTTGTCAAAAAACTATAGAAGTTAGAGCAAAACTTTAAAAAGCAAAACAAATCAGCAAAATAATATCTACAAGTAAGTCAAAATGGCCAGATTGTCACACTGGTTATAGGATTTATTGCTAATGAATGACGTTTTTATCTCATAAACTTTAATAGATAGCTCTAAACGATCATAAACTGCAAACATTTAAAAAAAATATCAATACAAGACCTAACAAAATGCTACTATATCAAACCTACTTATATCTAATATAACTTTTTTATTTCATTTTGCCATCTATCAAAAATTATATAAGATATTTCTTTTCATTTTTTGGCATCAGATTTTTAATATTTCATGATGATTGTATACCATAATCTGGAAATGTAAGTAATTGGTCTTGTCATTGTCATAGCTTATAAAAAAATAGAAAATCTTCCTTTTACAAATAACGTGATAAAAAAAATAAAATGGAATAGCAAAGATGGCAATGTTGGGGAATAGAAGTTTGGATATTTAAAAATGAAATGAATGGATTCCTTTATTTTGGAAGATAATGTAACTAATGAAATGTCTTTGTCCAAAACACATGAAAGCGGTTATTTTTCTATAAAATGATATGATTTTTATACTATAAAAATTAATACTGCATCTGATCTTTTCTAATGAGAACAGAATATATTCACATGGGAACTGTTTTGTTCCCATGGGAAAATTAAATTTTTTTATGGGAGGAAAGTTTTAAAAATAGTTCCCATGGGAACTTTAATTTTCTCATAGGAACTTCAAATTTTCCCATGGGAACTCTAGTTTTTCCCATGGAAAATTTATCTTTAAAAGTACAAGTAATTTTCTGAAATGACATTGGTGGCATGTGTCATATGCCAATTTTTCCTTTTTCATTGCCTGTGTTGTTGAACGAATATTTACAATATCTCTTATATACCAGTGAAAGTCAGAATTGCAATAACATAACTGACTGCAATAAAGGACAAAAAACAATATCCAGATGAACGATTCTTTTTTTTTTAAATGTTACCACTGTATTTCAGCTGTCAGCTAATATGTGTTTTTCGAGTTCATTAGTTATAAATACATTTAGTTTTTGATCATTCCAAATAATGATTTTTATCTGAAATATTAAGTTTCATACTCCTGCTAAAAATGTATTCTAAAGCAATCTTGAAATCATTCATTCTTGTTTGAAACGATCATTATTCAAAATGACTAAACATTGCTATTAAATTCGTGTTGTTCAATCTTTAGTGTTCTGTTTACTGTTGTTTGGGTTGTTTTTTTCGTTTTACTTTTGGTCATGTCTTTATCGACCTTTTTTCATTGATTTGTATTGCCCCTCCTGAACATCTTCTTACATTTTTTGTACGACGAAAGAGATTGTATGGTTTTTCATTTTCATGAATTATACTTTTTATATTAATGTATTTCAAATAATTCTTTATCACAATCTCTACCGCTTGCTAGGATTGACGATTAAATGACTGTTACTAGACAAAATAAACTGTATCATTATAAGGGTATCTGTTATGATTTTAATCTATTTTCACATGATTTCCAAAACCAAATTAGAATCAGATGAGCGACACAGGCTCTTGAGAGCCTATAGTTTTTTGTTGAAAATATCCCTATACAGAAACGTCGGCCTACTGAACGACTGGCTTTGTAATTCGTTAATTGTTTACAACTTTGATAAAGTTTTATATGAGGAAACAAAAAGTCTCGATATATGCACTATTTGTTTTAACCTTAATTATGTCTGCATTTTTCATAACCAATGCCGCCCTGATTTGATGTATATTTGGTTATATAGAATTGAGAATGGAAACGAGGAATGTGTCTTAGAGACATTAAACCGAGCAAAGAGCAGAAAACAGCCAAAGGCCAATGGGTCTTCAACGCAGCGAGAAAATCCAGCACCCGAAGGCGGGCTTCCGGTGGCCCCTAAACAATAATGTATACTAGTTCAGCGAAATGGACACCATACTAAACTCCGAAACATATAAATGAACCAAAATTAAAAGTCACACAAGACTAACAAAGGCCAGAGGTTCCTGATTTGGGACAGGCGCAAAAATACGGCGGGATTAAACAAGTTTTGTGAGATCTCAACCCTCCCCTTTTACCTCTAGCCAATGTAGAATAAACAAACACACAGCAATACGCACAGTAAAACTCAGTATAGGTAACAGAAGAAACTAAGCAATATGACAATGATCAAACATAAACTAACAAAGGACTACTATCAGGTACTGACATGCCAGCTCCAGACCACAACTAAACTGATCGAAAGATTATGTCTTTATCATATGAAAATCAAGCACAATCCCGCCCGTTATTGTTTTAATATCATGCCATCATAAATTATACGAGAAGAACATAATCCGTAGCATGCCAACACATATTAAACGTTATATGTATATAATATATAATAAATTATAACTTTTCAATATAATAATATATTGGAATTTAATTCAGTAATACCGGTAATTAAATTCAGTTATTGTAATTATAAAACTTGGTATGATTTTAATTCACGGTCTGTCCGATTTATTTTTACTGGTCACTTTCATATGCTCATTAGTTTAAGCCCGCGAAATTTAGTCCGTGCATTTTACCTCAGGGTGATTAGTCATTTGGATTCAAACCTTACACGGAGTTTGACCAAAGCTACAGAATTAAAACTAAATTCCGAACAGAAGAAAAGATAAGTATTTTTTTTAGTTTTAAAATTAAGCAAAGTTTTACAAAAATAGTGGTTCAATACAATTTAAACTGTAAAACTTGTATTTCAATTGTATAAATATTGTCAAACTTTGTTAATTGCTTAAATTGTCGCTAACTTTTTCTTTGGTTAAATATTATAGAATCTAAACTTTGTTATTGCTTTAATTGTCGCTAACCTTTTCTTTGGCTATCATCTTATGTTTCATTTGTTAATTGAGTAGATAGTTATAATCATAGTGCGAGTTGTTATAACAATTTGTTCATGTTATTTATTTTATTTTTAATTCAAATCATGCAGTACTAAGTAACCGGTGAGTAAGCTATATATATCATTTTCAGCATCAATGTTTATATAATTTCATAAACTATTGTTAAGGCAAGGATGTCTCAAACGAAGCGAACTAG